AGGTTTGTAGCAAGCTTGTTAACAAGTTTTGACAATTGCTGTTCCAACAACTTGTCAACAAGATATTTCCTCAACAGGCTTGTAGCAAGCTTGTTAACAAGTTTGGAGAATGCTGTTCCAACAACTTGTCAACAAGATATTTCCTCAACAGGCTTGTAGCAAGCTTGTTAAAAAGTTTTGACAATTGCTGTTCCAACAACTTGTGCACAAAATATTTCATCAACGGGCTTGTAGCAAGCTTGCTAACAAGTTGTGACAATGCTGTTCCAAAAACTTGTCAACAAGATATTTCCTCAACGAGCTTGTAGCAAGCTTGTTAACAAGTTTTGACAATTGCTGTTCCAACAACTTGTCAACAAGATATTTCCTCAACAGGCTTGTAGCAAGCTTGTTAACAAGTTTGTGACAATGCTGTTCCAACAACTTGTCAACAAGATATTTCCTCAACAGGCTTGTAGCAAGCTTGTTAACAAGTTTGGAGAATGCTGTTCCAACAACTTGTCAACAAGATATTTCCTCAACAGGCTTGTAGCAAGCTTGTTAACAAGTTTGGAGAATGCTGTTCCAACAACTTGTCAACAAGATATTTCCTCAACAGGCTTGTAGCAAGCTTGTTAACAAGTTTTGACAATGCTGTTCCAACAACTTGTCAACAAGATATTTCCTCAACAGGCTTGTAGCAAGCTTGTTAACAAGTTGTGACAATGCTGTTCCAACAACTTGTCAACAAGATATTTCATCAACGGGCTTGTGGCAAGCTTGTTAACCAGTTGTGAGAATGCCGTTCCAATAACTTGTCAACAAGATATCTCCTGAACAGGCTTGTAGCAAGCTTGTTAACAAGTTTGGACAATGCTGTTCCAACAACTTGTCAACAAGATATTTCCTCAACAGGCTTGTAGCAAGCTTGTTAACAAGTTGTGACAATACTGTTCCAACAACTTGTCAACAAGATATTTCGTCAACAGGCTTGTAGCAAGCTTGTTAACAAGTTGTGACATTACTGTTCCAACAACTTGTCAACAAGATATTTCATCAACGGGTTTGTAGCAAGCTTGTTAACAAGTTGTGACAATGCTGTTTCAACAACTTGTCAACCAGATATTTCCTCAACGAGCTTGTAGCAAGCTTGTTAACAAGTTTTGACAATGCTGTTTCAACAACTTGTCCACAAGATATTTCCTCAACAGGCTTGTAGCAAGCTTGTTAACAAGTTTTGACAATTGCTGTTCCAACAACTTGTTAACAAGATATTTCCTCAACAGGCTTGTAGCAAGCTTGTTAACAAGTTGTGACAATTGCTGTTCCAACAACTTGTCAACAAGATATTTCCTCAACAGGCTTGTAGCAAGCTTGTTAACAAGTTGTGACAATGCTGTTCCAACAACTTGTCAACAAGATATTTCCTCAACGGGTTTGTAGCAAGCTTGTTAACAAGTTGTGACAATGCTGTTCCAACAACTTGTCCACAAGATATTTCCTCAACGGGTTTGTAGCAAGCTTGTTAACAAGTTGTGACTATGCTGTTCCAGCAACTTGTGCACAAGATATTTCCTCAACGGGCTTGTAGCAAGCTTGTTAACAAGTTGTGACAATGCTGTTCCAACAATTTGTGAACAAGATATTTCCTCAACGGGCTTGTAGCAAGCATGTTAACAAGTTGTGACAATGCTGTTCCAACAATTTGTGAACAAGATATTTCCTCAATGGGCTTGTTGCAAGCTTGTTAACAAGTTGTGACAATGCTGTTCCAACAACTTGTCAACAAGATATTTCCTCAACAGGCTTGTAGCAAGCTTGTTAACAAGTTGTGACAATGCTGTTCCAACAACTTGTCAACAAGATATTTCCTCAACAGGCTTGTAGCAAGCTTGTTAACAAGTTTTGACAATTGCTGTTCCAACAACTTGTCAACAAGATATTTCCTCAACAGGCATGTAGCAAGCTTGTTAACAAGTTTGGAGAATGCTGTTCCAACAACTTGTCAACAAGATATTTCCTCAACAGGCTTGTAGCAAGCTTGTTAACAAGTTTGGAGAATGCTGTTCCAACAACTTGTCAACAAGATATTTCCTCAACAGGCTTGTAGCAAGCGTGTTAACAAGTTTTGACAATTGCTGTTCCAACAACTTGTGCACAAAATATTTCATCAACGGGCTTGTAGCAAGCTTGCTAACAAGTTGTGACAATACTGTTCCAACAACTTGTGCACAAAATATTTCCTCAACGAGCTTGTAGCAAGCTTGTTAACAAGTTGTGACAATACTGTTCCAACAACTTGTCAACAAGATATTTCCTCAACAGGCTTGTAGCAAGCTTGTTAACAAGTTTGGAGAATGCTGTTCCAACAACTTGTCAACAAGATATTTCCTCAACAGGCTTGTAGCAAGCTTGTTAACAAGTTGTGACAATACTGTTCCAACAACTTGTCAAAAAGATATTTCGTCAACAGGCTTGTAGCAAGCTTGTTAACAAGTTTTGACAATGCTGTTCCAAAAACTTGTCAACAAGATATTTCCTCAACGAGCTTGTAGCAAGCTTGTTAACAAGTTCTGACAATTGCTGTTCCAACAACTTGTCAACAAGATATTTCCTCAACAGGCTTGTAGCAAGCTTGTTAACAAGTTGTGACAATACTGTTCCAACAACTTGTCAACAAGATATTTCGTCAACAGGCTTGTAGCAAGCTTGTTAGCAAGTTTTGACAATACTGTTCCAACAACTTGTCAACAAGATATTTCGTCAACAGGCTTGTAGCAAGCTTGTTAACAAGTTGTGACAATGCTGTTCCAACAACTTGTCAACAAGATATTTCCTCGACGGGCTTGTAGCAAGCTTGTTAACAAGTTGTGACAATGCTGTTCCAACAACTTGTCAACAAGATATTTCCTCAACGAGCTTGTAGCAAGCTTGTTAACAAGTTTTGACAATGCTGTTCCAACAACTTGTCCACAAGATATTTCCTCAACAGGCTTGTAGCAAGCTTGTTAACAAGTTGTGACAATGCTGTTCCAACAACTTGTCAACAAGATATTTCCTCAACAGGCTTGTAGCAAGCTTGTTAACAAGTTGTGACAATTGCTGTTCCAACAACTTGTCAACAAGATATTTCCTCAACAGGCTTGTAGCAAGCTTGTTAGCAAGTTTTGACAATACTGTTCCAACAACTTGTCAACAAGATATTTCGTCAACAGGCTTGTAGCAAGCTTGTTAGCAAGTTTTGACAATACTGTTCCAACAACTTGTCAAAAAGATATTTCGTCAACAGGCTTGTAGCAAGCTTGTTAACAAGTTGTGACAATGCTATTCCAATAACTTGTCAACAAGTCATCTCCTCAACAGGCTTATAGCAAGCGTGTTAACAAGTTGTGACAATGCTGTTCCAACAACTTGTTAACAAGATATTTCCTCAACAGGTTTGTAGCAAGCTTGTTAACAAGTTGTGACAATGCTGTTCCAACAACTTGTTAACAAGATATTTCCTCAACAGGTTTGTAGCAAGCTTGTTAACAAGTTGTGACAATGCTGTTCCAACAACTTGTCAACAAGATATTTCCTCAACAGGCTTGTAGCAAGCTTGTTAACAAGTTGTGACAATGCTGTTCCAACAACTTGTTAACAACGGGGCACAGAGTGGGTGTAAAAATGTACGTCTGATAATAGTAAAGTGTAAAATATTCATTTAAAGTAACTTACCCAATCTGTGAGCAATAAACTCATCATGGAGAACTGATGTATTATTTTCAATTTGAACCCAGTCAATGGCTGGCAAAACAAATTATTAGCATTAATATTAATCAATAAGGCCATCCGCTCCTAATGTTTCAATACATGTTTTACACATAACAAAGTAGAATAAAGATGAAAAATAAAGTGACATAATATTCTTCATATATTACCAATCGTTGGTGTTTCTGCAATGAATATTCTCCGTAAAGCATTAGCCATACTGAAATCAAAGATAGAATTGTTAGTTCAGTTCTTACTGCTGTTGCAATGTATTCGAATTTGTCTAAATAGTTTAATTTCAACATAAAACACCATTTCAAGGGTAGGACATGGTTCACTGTTTATCCATAAACGTCATACCGAGGACCTGCTGAAGTTCTGGGCGGAGATAGCTGTTGACAACTAGGCCACAGAATACAGAAGTCTGACTCAGCCAAAAAAGCGTAGCCGCAGCAATGCCATCAAAATGAACTCGCTGTGTTCCTAGCCAGTGCACTTATGAGGCATTTACCCCCCTGGATGGCCGCCATTTTGAATATTTTCAGGGGGGGCGAATGCCTGTCATAAGCACACTGGCTAGCCACATAGCGACAGCATTGATGCATACATAGGCAAAACAGAGACGTCGACAATCTGTGGTTATTGTACACTGCTGTCTGGTGGATTACCAGATGAACGCAGCCAGATCTGATATCTCCTTCACCCTACTTAAGTTCACCAGGAGATTGTCCACAGGGGGTGTGGGGCCCTAAACAATGTCAATTCAATAAACTCATATACCAATCATTGTAAAAATCAAGATATTTACCTGAGATCCGTATTTTCAACAATAAACTTTAAATTCTCGTCTGTCAACTCACTGATTCTTATAATCGGTTGATTGGCATAAGGCATTTTCGAACCAGTTTTTCGCCTTCGAAACTAGTACTTTCTGATTCTTTATAGATTTTTTGTAAATTTTAACTTTTCCGCGCCACAAGTGAAGAGGTCTGGGCCCAACTCAACTTAGCCTGCAAAGCCCGCCAGCGCCTGCTTTGCAGGCTAAATGTATCAAAAGTGAGCGTTCCTGTTTTGCCATTGGTCAATCCGACCGCCCTGCGAACGTGATTGGCCAGCGTAGAAACAAACGGCAATTTCAAATTTTTTGTTCGAAGATTTTGGGAATTTTTTTTTTCATTTCAAACTTTAAAGCACAGAAGTCGAGAAAGAAGTTGTGTTCACCTTTTCTAAAAGGAAAATCTTTTCAAAAATGGCTTCACAGAACGTAGACCCGACAAGAGTTAATCCCAACACGAGAAAACAGAGAGATAAAAGCGAGCTTTTGTCCGGCGGCTTGCATTCTGTCACTCAAAGGTCGGTTGAAAATATATGGTGACAACATTGACATTCTGCAGTATTGAATAGTTCAAGTGTTTTATATACGAGTACAGTAAAATATATTCGTACCTTTTAAATCGTTTTTACTTAATAGCATAGAACCAGTTAGATTTCCTTGTGTTTTTTTAGACTTCAGCAAGACTTGATGACCTTAATGGTAAGCTCAAAGCAAATGTTATAAACTACTGTATATAAAACATCCCTCTCAGATATTTTTGGCAAATTTATATTAAATACCAATGGTAGAGAAAAGTAGTTTTATGGCTGGTTTATTAATACACTATCAGAGTTTCTGTGATCACAGTTGATTGTGATTACAAATCCTTCAAAAGTTAGAATTTACCTATCCAAAATTCCTTCTGGGATCACAGAAACCTTTGATAAATATATTACCATCCAACCTTAGAAATGAACTAAAAGCATTTCCCATTTTGGCAATACCAAATGGGTAGAACAATTTACAAGGCCAACACTTTCCCATGGTCTGATGTTAGATAGACATTGAGACTAAGTAAAATATTAGGTAGGATCCTGTTTGGGGGTGGCCCCCCCCCCCCCCCCCAATGTTTTGTGAGGTGTAGTTCTACTGTGAATTTGTCCAATTCCAATGAATTGAGGGCATTGAATTCAGACTTGTTCTTTACAGTGTAGTGGTGAAAAATACGTCTCGGGTTTTCCTGATGGCGATAATCTGTTCCACTGGAAAGCAACGATAACTGGCGCAGAAGGCACGGTAAGGACATGCATGTGATAATGGAGAACATTTTTATCTTGAATGCTGGGTTTGGTGGATCGGCATTGTTTATTGCTATACGCACACAACAGTAAATAATTTTATTGTTCACCAAAGTCTATTTGATTCATCTATCATTTTTCCATTTTTAGGCTTATGAAGGTCTTGAATACAAGCTCGAAATCGAGTTTCCTGATCGGTATCCATTCGCCGCTCCCAAAGTTAAATTCCTTACGCCATGTTACCATCCAAATGTTGACAATCTAGGAACGATTTGTCTTGATATCCTGAAGGTACGTTGAAACCTGGAGATGTTATGTCAGTAACACCCACCCCCCCTGGAAACTAGGGTCCACTCTCCCACCCCCCACTAATATAACTAGGTAACTTGGGTCATCATACCCCTCCCCAGAAAATGTTTGACCAACCCCATGCGCAGATCATTCCTACTTTGTGAGATGAACATCATACCAGATGAATCTACAATTCTTTCCAGCCTGAGTGTATTTCTGTGTTTAGGACAAGTGGTCGGCATTGATGGACGTCAGAACAGTTTTGCTCTCAATTCATCTGCTTCTATCAGGTCAACTTTGAAATTTTAAAATGCATCCTACCCAATAGATATTCTAAAGAAATCAATTGGACAAATGCTGTCCAATTAATTAGAATTGGGTCGTCCCAGAAAAGATCCATACTCCCCCCACGGAGGAAATTCACTGATGAAATTCTGATGATAGTAAATGTATTAGGACATCCAAAGGGGGTGGTATGGATGTTTTCTGGAATGACCCATCACAGTACTGAATTGAAAAAGTTTTAAAACAAAACTAATTAATTATATAGAAAATTAAAATTCAACTTATAAACAAAATTAATCGCATTACAGTAACTGCATTTGCAGTGAAGATGTGGAAGTCTGGTAATGAGATACTTTTTTGTCCAATGTGGCTATCTCATCTCTTAGACACTGCCATTTTGAAGGATCCCCGATCCGATACCCTTAAAGACCCTGTGTCCAATGTCACAGGTTACTGTACAACAAAAATATTTAGAATAAACTATAATGATTGATATTTTGTCTTTCAGAACCAAATAATAAAGATCCTCTAAATGCTGAAGCAGCGCAAATGTGGCAAAACAAAACCGGTTAGTTCCTTGACAAGCCGACAATTTTTTTTACTTCGTAAATAGTTGAGGGTTATATGTTAGTTATTCAAAATCTGATATCAAATTTTCTATTTATTTTAGAATATGCAGCAATGGTACAACGAAAGCACAGAGAGCATGCAGCAAAAACTGAATAATAACATAAATATCCATGAAATCTATTCCAAATGATTGGATGCACAAATGTAATATAAAAATAATATAAGCGCAGAATATTATAACATATCCAAGTGTTTTGGGAAAAAATTGTTGGTGTGTACAAATAATTCGTGAAGGCATTTGACTTGGTTTGTAAAATTAGAATTTAAAAACTTGGAGAATGGATGGTAGACTATTACTATACCAAACATTTTTTGCAAGCCATATAGTGCTTAAATTGGCTGAGCTTTATGTAAAAAGAACTTAAATATTTGTTGCTATATACAATATGACTGTACAGTTAATAGAAATACTTGTCATTTATAGTGCAATAAAAATGAATGCAAAGCACAATGAAATGTATTTTGGGGTAAACGTTTATCGACACTGTAGTGTTGTGTACAGTATGATAAATTTACAGTTGCAACTGTGAACAGTTGATTAATTTTAGATTGTCTAGATTCTCTGACATGGGAAGACAGTACCCCCAAAATGGAAGATATTGGGCTGCATGAGAAAGGTTAATAGCACGGTTAATACTCTGATAATTCTGTCTCACTCCAAAGAGTGTTTGAAGTTTGATCTTATGTAGTATTTAACCCATTAAGCGCCAGCGCTCTCCCCTTGACAAGTAAAATCGTCTGGCGTTAGACAGAGTAAAATACTGAAGTAGGGTGCAATGCGACTCAATGACAATGAGTTAAAGCACGCATAGGAGTGTTTTATCAGATATAAAACGCAAGGCGAAAAAACGACTCGTTTTATAGGAGTTCATTGGCGAAGTAATTTTTAAAATAAACTTTGTCTAAACCGAGAAAATTCAAAGCTAAAGTTTATGTAAATTAACATGATTTTTTATCACGTATAAAGATACGACACGCTTATGATTTTTCTTGAATAACTCAGTTCTTGCACTTCACTTGGTGGAATTAATATTAGAATGTTAGGGTTTGTAATCCAAGTGAGAATATATACATTTTAAGACCTAACCAGGAACGACTGCGAAAAATGCAGCACAAGGTCCTCTGGTAGGAATTGAACCTACGGC